CCGGGATGAATTAGGGGTCCCCGATCCATCCAGTGAAGGGCTTCTGTATCCAATCAGAGAATCCTGATCCGAAACAGGAACCCTCTGATTCGCAAAGGTGACCCACGCGCCAGCACCTTTCGTAAAACACAATGAGGCTCCATGTTTCGAAGCGGTGCATGCTAATTCCAAAGGGGCTTCTTGATCCGGGAAAATGATCTTCTAATGCAGAAAATGGCCGCCTGAACCCATTAAGGAACTTTTGGCTCGGAAATAGGGCCCGATTGATTCGAGTCTTTATGATATATGCATAACCATAAAACTTTCAGCTTGGGTAAAAGCGCTCCCCCAAAAATGGAGGCGGCAAGTGCATATTCTTGCCAACCGCCTGCTGGCAGGGGTTAACCACCTCCCTGCCGTAACCCCCCCCCCCCCACACACACACACTTCTGCTGCCGGCCTTGACTCCACACACAACAAAACGGCTCTCTTGTTTTTACTCGTCTGCAAGAGGTCCCGCTGTAATGTAAAAGAGACCCAGCGTTGCATGTAAATGAGACAAACCAGCCTCGTGATAGAGCGGAGTGTGCGGAGCGTCCCAGATTTGGTCCGGATGGGGCCCCGCGCGATCAGCGTCTTCGGCACCCCTGACTCGGGGCAATATCATTTTCGACTTGTTGCCTTTTGACATTCATACATTTGAGTTTTGTTCCTTTTGACTTTTTGCTTGTTCGGCTTTTATTCCTCTGGATTTTGCGTCATTTGTATTAAATCTTTTTTGACTTCTTAACATACGACTTTTCTCATTGAGCTTTTTTCACAATTGACTTCGTCTTTGACTCTTCGGCCTTCAACTGCCTGTCCGGTTGTTGTACGAATGTTATTAGGTACGCCTTTTTTGCCCTTACTGTGGTATCCTTGCATATTTGTCCGTGGTTTCTTATTCTTTACTTGAATGCAGATGCTCCGTTACGGTACTATTCATAAGTTATTCGATTCCCAGTCCCATTTCCGTCATCTTTACCACTGCCCTAATTCCTGTATTACGTGATTCATGTTCAAAACTTGCGCTCAACACATTAGCCTGGTTGCAGTCCAACTACTGTCCGCATATGTGACGAGCAGTGCCAACGCACGCCGGAAACGCGATGATGCAATGGTGAAGCCGCTGCATCACTATCGTACAGCCTAGCCACATAAGCCAGAAGTTCGGTGTGCTCTGCTTAGTACAGACATGCACAATTGTGCTCGTTTTGTGACAGGCGACATTTCCAAGTCCGGTCCAATCACCTCTGGCGCGTGGCATTGCACTTTAGCATCACGTTACAGCGGTACCGAAATTGTGCGGCCTTACGGACTGTCTACAAGCCATCCTCACATTGCTATTTGAGCATCTTTCACTGAGACATTTGATAAACCATTTTGGTCTCGGAAGGCCATGCAAGAAGCTTTTCGTTCGCATGCTATCTTTGTCAAATGCTTGTCTACACTGAACAAAAAGGTTGGTAGATAGGCTTCAGGTTTCTTCATGCCTTGTGCTACCAGTGCGAAAATTAGGCCCACGTTGACATCACCGGCAAGGTTTTGGTTCACTATTGTGTTGGATACTCTGGCGTTTTACAAAGGTGTGCAGACTCCGCCGCACCTGGACGGATCCCACCGACACGCGCGAATTCACGCGACACCGTAAATATGATGGAGTTATACGCCATGTTACGCAACTCAGCACGAGGAGCACATTCGTGCGGCGCCTCACGAGTTCAGAGGTAGGCCAGTGGTGCCGGAGTTCGGCCACAGTTCTTGGCAGGAATGTTTTTGTCTGTATTCCATTCGCTACCATGCAACGTCATAGGTCGAATGCTAGCTTTGCATCCGAGTTGGAGGGGTGAGTGCATGGTTCCGCTGAAAGACGGAAGGGGGAGGGAGTGGGCCCTACCCTCTTCTCCCCTGGTTCACGTGCCATCGCACGAAGCTCTCACGACGACGCCAAGCTTCATGCATCCTGCGTCGCATTAAGCAAGCTGCATTTCGTCTAGCACAAAGCCAAGGGAGATCGGTCACGACATAGATGCTAGCTAAAACAACGCTTGATGATGCTCCTGGTGTCGGTGTCCGCAGAAAGGTAACATTTGGTGGAGATGGATCCGGACACAGAGCCCTAGCACCGCCACCTACCCTGATCCAGGTCAGGTCGTCACCATACTGTCCGGCAACATTCGCCTCTCCGCTGCCCTCTGAGCTCCGTTGCTCGGCTGTCAGACACGTGACGGCCAAGGTGACAGGGAGCGGACCATGTCGGCTAGCGCCCAAGAAACATGGTCTGGGTATGCGGCTCGGGGAACACGGTCTAGACGGACCTGCTGAGAGTTGCCAGCTGCGTAATACCGAGCGGCCGTGTCTTGGCGTCGCTTGACCTTCGTTGGTCCTTCGTTGAGTAAGGCCACGGGCCGAGAAAATAATAACTCCGTCTGATTAGAGTTGCTTTAATGGGGTGAACGGGTATGGACATTCGCAAGATGCTATATAGAAAAGCATCGGCGGCGTTCACAAAGCCATTCTTACAAAGCAGTTGATCGAGTTTCTTTTCGAACATGTAATAGTTGCTCAGTCATTGAAGGTATTGCAAATCTGTGGCGCTGTGCATATGATCTAAATGGCCTACATCAGCCAAGCTCAGCACAATTTTGTGTCATGAATGACCCTTAGCATTTATGTCTTACTGATGCGCATGCAGTGACAGACATACGCGCAGTAAGAACAGGTTTGGCCGTGGGAGGGATCATTTAGCGTCACTTGCTGCAAGAGCAGTATGAGCAGCATGAAACCGCGGTTCTCTCAGCACGCCTTTTAGTCGACGAACAATATCTCCTGGGCTGCTGACCAAGTGATAACGACAATTAGGATTTCATGAAACTAATGGCATTCCCTTTCAAAGCTGTACTGACATATGCCCCATGCGTCAGCGCAGCGTGCAAGGGAAGCTTACAGACGACACAACTTACGGCGACGTAATTGCCCGCTCTCAAAGCGAGTTGTTGACATTGCTGTTGCCCAAATACCGATATGTTTCGCCCTGAACTTTGCATCACTGTATAGCTCCTTACATTCTCTGCCATACAATTTTAAAGTGTGTATCGTAAAATGCAACATCATTTCTAAATCCACGAATGCATTTGCCTTTGACAGGGACGGCCTTCGGTCCGTGGCAGCGCCACGCTAAAAATCAGGTGACGTCAGAGGACAGGGCGGACCGTGCTGAGCATTGCGGCACGTTAAGCTTTCGCCACCGAATTCTGCTGTTGACCCGGAATTTCACGATCGGATGGCGAGGACCAGGGTTCACGCAACGAGCACTGCTTAGCCTGATGTCTAATCCCAGAAATCCATCCCTTCCAAAGGCTTGGACTAAACAGAAAAAATGAGCCTGAGCCTGAACGTGATTTGACGAAGATTTGGTACGTGCTTTTTTGTTTTGCAGCCGCTTAAATGAACCTCAGCATTTCCCCCGCTTTCTCTACTCTGAATGAGCCTTCTCCCTTCATCTCCAAAAGAGAACTCAAGGCAGCAAACTCTTCAAATTATCGAGGACATCACTACAAATACCATGCGGGCTAGAGATCAAAGAACTGCAGTTAACAAGCCCAGGCAGCTTTATACCGTGAACCCTTGACTGTGGTCTCAAATTCTAATAAATACAATAAAAAAGCGGCAAAGTTCATTGCATTTCGGAAAATGTGTCTTGTTTAGGTGAGTTTTGAGATTTAGTTTGCTTTAGATGAGTTTGAAAACTGACCTAAAGAGGGTATGTTTGCTGAAATATAGTGAGCTTTGCAGCTTATTTATTGTTGCTTTGAGCCTGAGACTGCGGTCAAGAGTGCACGGTAAAATTATGATGAAGATTAACAGTCTAAGAGGAAGTCTGCTTTTCATAAATGGAAGCCCAGACAGTTCCTAACCACACACATAGCACAGAACAGGACCCCTCGACCTTGAATCTATACGCTAGACGTGATACCAATTACGGTGTCGAGCACGCGCTGCGTTAACTGAGTTACGCTGGCAACCAAGTTCTGGCTCGAACTCAGCCGCTGCAAAGGTAAAGGGATCTGGCCTGCCAAACAGCCGCTCCCAACGTGCTTCTCCGGAACGAGACAAAACTGCAGGTTTTACGAAGGACCTTTTTAGACGCAACAAGTACCGAACATCGGGAACATTGCCACTCACAGTGACCTGCGCAGCTGACATCGCCGGAATGCTATAGCTAAAACCCATAACTGCATTCAACGGCACCACCACCAGTGACCCGTTTAAAGCTCAAAACATTGAGCATATCCCATGCACCTTGAAAAAAGCTTTGGAGACCTAGAAAAGATACGGACACCGGGATCTATAAGTATTGGGAACCGGACCGCACCCATCTTCAACCCGAACACCATCCCACCTCTTCCTTCCCCCCCCCCCTTCTTCTCACCCAACTCTTCTTAACCCCCTCTTCTCACCCAACTCTTCTCACCCGCTTCTTCTCAACCCAATCTTCTCACCCACCTCTTCTCGCCCAACTTTTTTAGCCTCCTCTTCTCGTTCCTCTTTTTACTCCCTTCTCTTACTCCCTCTTCTCATCCCCCTCTTCTCACCCACCTCTTCCCACCCAACTCTTTTCACCCCCTCTTCTCATCCCCCTCTTTCACCCCTCTGTTCTTATCCACCTCTTATCTCCCACCTCTCTGAACCTCCTCTTCTCACACCACTTTCTCACTCACCTTTTCTCACCCAACTCCGCATCACCCCAACTCACCAACCCCATCGCGAGCGCGCGTCCTAGATCCCCCGGCGCTCTCACCGAGCCGCCGCGCCGGTGCCGGGTATTGCAAGGGGGAGGGGGGGAGGGGGAGGGACATCATCCGTGCGCCGACGGAGGCGGGCTCCGTTCGGCGGCTCGGTGAGAAAGCCCGCCGGGCGGCCGGACCGTGTATAAAGGCTGCCGGCTACCCGGTCGGGTCACAGTTGGTCGGGATTGGAACGGACAGGTGCCTGCGAGCAGCGCACCGAAACGGAGAGCTCATCATGAGGGTGAGTGCAGGGTGCCGAGGCGTGCCGGCGGACGAGGTCGTGCTGGAAGGCGCGCATGCTGACGACGCATTGTAAGCCTCTTAAATACCGTTTAGCCACGCGCCATGTGGGATGTTCCCCCGATCGCTTTTGATGCGGAAGGTTTTGGGCTGCTTGTGCCGCGAAGCGTCTTGTGTCTTGTTGCGCGGTGGATGGTGGTCGCGTGTGCCTTCCACGTCGTAACATCGCACTTTTGATTGATGAATTTTTAGTGATTAGAAGAATTAGTGAAATTTCCTAAAAGTATATAGATCGTGAACTTTTATGGCGACTTTCTATCGGCCCAAAATAACACATTTGAAAATGATGTTCAAACTAAGCTGGAATTCTAAGGTGTTCAAATGACATATCTGCCAAAATTGTCATTTTCAGCATTCTGTGGGATCGTTCTTTTGAGTTATAGGTCATTTCTCGGCAGCTGTCACGCGGCGTGTTAAGGTTTGGCTTTAGATTGGGCCATGGTTGAGGCCAGCACACAGCAGCCGCAGCCGTACAACGCCAACACATTAAGCCATAATGTTGCACAACTGTGAACCGAAACGAAATGCAGTTTCTGCCGCGCAGAAAAAAAGAATGGGATAGCTTGTTGCCAGGTCTGATCCCTGACGTAGTATGCATGCCATGTGACAGTGATGATACGCAGCGGTGGTAGTGATAACAATGATCCTAAACAATAATGTTGATCATTATCACTCTCCCTAACGATGCTAATGATAGTTATAAGGCTTTATGGACCTTGTAACACGACAAAGAGCGGTCCAAGGCTTACTAAATCTCATAAAAGTATTTAAGACTTTGGTTTCATCCTAGGCACGCATCAAGCAATGCTATCTACCATTATTTCAATACTCTTAGAAAGCGGGCTTGCCAAATACGACTGATGCTGTCCGCTCTTTCGAGAGAAGACCGAATCCAAAGGGAATTGAGAAAGCAGGTGGGGTTTTCTTTCATAGAGCCGTGTAAACGCCTGAATGAACATGAGACATGTCTGCTTTATTTTGATGGTGATGCCATCAATTATCATCGGAATGCCGAAACGTGCTTTTACAAACTATTTTGCTTCACTTCAGATATTACACTGGATCCATACCTGTTTTCAAGGTCCATTGAAAGGTTGATGCTGGCTGCATAACTCAGTAAGCTCATTTCAAGTGATAATCCAACGCGCGCCTGAAACTGAGACACGATCAAAATCATCTCGCGAAACAGACTGGCCTGACACCAAAGAATGCCGACCGTACGCCATTTGCGGCATTCAGGAAACTCCCACGCGACCCGTTATAGTGATCAAACGGCTGTCCTACGCGTTTTTCTGCATCTTTGCTATGCTTCGTTTGCCATAGATTCAATAAAGCCACCTTCACCAGTCGTCCTAACGACATCCAGCTCCACTTCACCAGTCGCCCTAATGACGTCCAGCTCCACTTCTCTCGCGAGAACGGCATGTGGGCACCCTGAGGCAGTGATCAACATGATGTAGCAGCTCCAGTCAGTACGAACCCCATCCAGTCCAGACAAATTCACGGCTCAAAGCGTGCTGAAGTTACTGAACTGGCCCTGCACTGTGCGTTAGCCACTGATCTGCGTGGTTGATACAGCGCTGCAGGCAGAGGTGGCAAGGTATGCTATGGCGCTTAAGGCGCTGGACCAAGACACCTATCGCTGGAGGGACGTGCGCTTGTGGCACTCTTGTCTAACTGAAACGTTTACGACGTTTGCAATCCAAACCTCGCCTCGAAGTCCACCACGGGGCTGAGCGTGTAGCATAGCCTGTGGCGATTTTTCATCTCCTTTGTTTGCGCGTGGTCCTTTTCAGAGGGTGGCGCAACGCAGTTCGTTGTGCACCGCTATCACGGAACGCCAGCGGCTGTGGTTCCCAGCTCATCACCAAGCGACGGCAGTTTCCTGCATGGGCCGCACGCCCACGTGCAATGCCATTTGAAGCCTGCGTCATTCCCAGCTGGCCTGACATATGCGCGTGGTCGATCTATGGCAGCGTCCGAGGCAGCGACAGCAGTGTTCGATCCCCAGCGCCGCGTCTGAGCCGTGCGTGACGGTGACCCGACGCTGCTATTCCAGGCGTGGGCGTTTGCGGCGTTGGTGGCGCTGGCCGCTGCCGACCAGGGCGGCTTCCAGCCGGTGACGGGGGCCGGAGCCGACGCCAAGGTGATCGGTCACTCCAGCAGCGCCTCCACCAGCCAGGCGCTGACGGTAGAGGCGCGCAACTCCGCCGTCCCGCTCGAGGCCCAGGCCGACTCCAGCGGCAGCCACGTCAGCTACGAGCAGCCGATCGCCCGCGACGGCGGCGGCATCGGCGGAGGCCACGTCGCCGGACATGACGGAGGATTCCCGAACGAGCACAGCAGCTACACGAGCTATGATGGCGGCAACTCGGGAGTCGGTGGCCCCTCCGGAGGTGGTGGGGGAGTCGGTGGCCCCTCCGGAGGTGGTGGAGTCGGTGGCTACTCTGGAGGTGGTGGAGTCGGTGGCTACCCCGGAGGTGGTGGAGTCGGTGGCTACTCCGGAGGTGGTGGAGTCGGTGGCCCCTCCGGAGGTGGTGGAGTCGGTGGCTACTCTGGAGGTGGTGGAGTCGGTGGCTACTCCGGAGGTGGTGGAGTCGGTGGCTACTCCGGAGGTGGTGGAGTCGGTGGCTACTCCGGAGGTGGTGGAGTCGGTGGCTACTCCGGAGGTGGTGGAGTCGGTGGCTACTCCGGAGGCGGTGGCTACTCCGGAGGCGGCGGCTACCCCGGAGGCGGCGGTTACCCCGGAGGCGGTGGCTACTCCGGAGGCGGTGGCTACACTGGAGGAGGCGGCGGCTTCTTCGGAGGCGGCGGCTATGGTGGAGGTGGTGGCTACGCTATCGGCGACGGTTACGGCGGCGGCTATGGATACGGAGAGCAGGGCGGCTACGGCGGTTACGAGGACTATGATGACGATGGCTACGGGAAGGTTGGGGATGACGATCCCTGGTACGAGAGCTACATCAACCGGATCAAATTCCCAATCTTCCTCCCGAAGATCAACTTCGTCAAAGTGGGCAGCAGCGTGCTTGATGACATCCCTCCGCCCAAAAACTACGGAGGTGGCAAGGGCAAAGGAGGCCGGAAAGGGCAAGGGAGGCGGCATCGGCTCCTTCTTCAAGGGTCTCTTTGGCGGAAAGGGCAAGGGCGGCGACAAGGGCAAGGGCAAGGGCAAGGGCAAGGGCGGTGGCCAAGACTCGGTCATCATAAATCATCACCACTACTACGACGAGGGATATGGCAAAGGAGGAGGCTACGGCGGTGCGCCAGTCGCCACCTACGGCGCTCCCCCAGCCGGCTCCTACGGCGCTCCCCCAGCCGGCTCCTACGGCGGCCCTCCTGCGACGTCCTACGGTGCCCCTTCCTACCACTGACCTCCGCGAGACCCATCTTGTTTGTAACCGCAGCGAGTTTGACGTTATGCGCTTGAGAGATCGCTCGACTCCAGAGAGGCAAGCGTCAGTAATTTATTGTTTCGCACATAGAACGCTCAAATACTGCCCTTGTGCATGTGTGATTGAACTGTTGTGTGATGATAATGTGCAAATCGATTTGGGGCTTGTTTTGTTGGAGTTATGTGATGCGATGATTACGTTAGATATGTCAAACAGGTTTTTGACTCGGTCGTGTCGAATAGCTCTTGAGCCTGCATAACTTCGTCACGCATATAATCGCGGGTGTATGCATATCTTGTGCCAATCTAGTCTGTTCTCTGAAACGCTAAATAAGCCTAATGCACATGTAGCAACGCTTCCTTCCTGATATTCCAGCGTTTTCCAACAGGGTAACCGATGTCCCCTACCTTCCATTGACCGTTACAAATATTTTTAGAACACAGGAGAACAGTTGTATGTCTTTGGAGGCTTTGTTTCTCCGTCAACTAGCTGGACAGAATCGACGTTGAAATTCGAAAAACTCAGGTCAAATGCACATTTAAAGGCTTTGCTCATCGCCGAAGCATTTCCATCAACGCTTGACTGATCGCGGTGTGTCTCGCTTCTCCAATAGACACGGTACGTTATTTCAGTTGGAATATTCCCTACCCCTGTTGTTGCGGGCCCTTTCTGCCAGTTCCTCTCTTTATCACCCTGCCTTGACAAATTACTCCCTAACTTTGCAGACATGATCATCTCCATGTTTATCGGTTGTTGCTCTTACAGTTCTAACAGTTGTATTCCTGTTGGATTCCTGGTCATCTTCTCATCGACCTCGATATTCTCCTATCTCTTTCTCTCTCTCCCTCTCCCTCTCTCCCTCCCTCTCTCTCTCTCTCACTCTCTCTCTCTCTCTCTCTCTCTCTCTCTCTCTCTCTCTCTCTCTCTCTCTCTCTCTCTCTCTCTCTCTCTCTCTCTCTCTCTCTCTCTCTCTCTCTCTCTCTCTCTCTCTCCTCTCTCTCTCTCCTCTCTCTCTCTTCTCTCTCTCTCTCTCTCTCTCTCTCCCTATTATCATTCCTCTCTCCTCTGCCCGCTTGCCTCTCTTTATATGCTTCTTCTCTCGCGCTCATTCTCTATCACCATACCTGAGTATTGTTTTTATCTCACATAAATTATTTGCAATTAGTATTCAGCTGCAGCAGGTTTTCTTTCAACTTCTCTCCTTCAACTTCTCTCCTGCAACTTCTCTCCTGCAACTTCTCTCCTGCAACTTCTCTCTTGCAACTTCTCTCCTGCAACTTCTCTCCTGCAACTTCTCTCCTGCAACTTCTCTCCTGCAACTTCTCTCCTGCAACTTCTCTCCTGCATCTCTTACATTCTCTCCGTTCGACGTCTGTAAAAACATTCTTTGGCATGGTCTGTTTTACACAACTAAAGCAACGACGCTATTGATAGTTATTACATTCCTTCGAATGTGAATCCAGCTTCTATATTCTGTGTCAGACTCACCTTACACTATCTATGGCCAAAACAAGCTGCATTTGGCTTAGGACTCCTTTTTTCTCACCTGCGTTACATTTATTTTTATTTTCACTTGCATCACATATTTGGCATGACGTTCAACGATTAGTTGTCATCGTAATCGTAGCGCTTCATATGCCAAATATGCCATGATTTATTGGTAGTTTTGCTTTTTCTTCCTTCCTTTTCCTTTTACTTTTGTAGTTTTGTTAGAACACCAGAATTACACACAAGCTACTACATGAAACCCAAGACGCATCTATCGCTTGAACGCCCACTCCTGTTATCTATTTCGCTTCACTGCTTCTCCGAGAACCTTTCCCTGAACGCTATGAGCCTAGAACGCTCGGACACGTGGCTGCAGGACTCGCGGCTCTCTCGACATGGTGCGTTTCGATCCATATGCGTTTTCAACAGCCGTGGAATGATCTGGTGTCATTCACAACTGCATCGCAACAGCAACGTGGATGTGAAATGATTTTCAACGCGATGACCTCATCTGCTAGCAATGCGTTGTTACGGGCGAGTCTGCGCGTCCTCCGCTGTTTTTGTAAATACACGTGAGAAGGATGACGTACTTCAATTGGTGTTTTACGCGTGGTGATGGACGCGGGTACAACAGACGATGGGCTTGGACTTTGGATAAAGCTTTCACACTTTGAGTGAAGAATTTCCGATCACGTGTCCGGTATGCAGCAACTGTGCCGAAACCAGCAATCATCGAGAGACCCGGACCTTTGCAACGATTGCCGGAGCTTGATTTCGTCACGGACGCTACACTGTCGTCACATATTCTGATACACGCGAACGCAACCAAAGCAGGAACTGGCCAGACAAAAACTTGAAATTCTGCAATGAGATTACCGAACCACAGCTAGAGAGCTGAAAGCCTCCTGAGGCGTCGTGTTTCCTCTGGAGGACATGAAGAGCCACGTGCCGTGTTGACTGAGAACGGCCCTAGCACGAGCGGTTTGGGTTGAAGCCTTCTGGCTCCGTGAGCCTTCATTCACTCCATCCTCACAAAAGTCAGAGCCCAAACTGCAGAACGGGGTGAAACCACCGTTTTGCCAACCGGTCGGGAAATCGCGGCCTCCTTGACGTGCATTTACAAACTGGAAAAGAGAGTCTTTAACCAGTGAGCCGCCCCGGTGGCTTTCCTGGCGTGAGCCACTACCCCGCGAAAATCCCGTCTGGCTCGTGGGGCCGGAAACGACCGAAGGGGGTCAGGCTGGAGTCGCGGAGGCCCCCGCGAAACCTGTCCCGGAGAACCGGACGCCCGCTCAGGCTACGCGCGCTCCGCCGCCTCCAGACTGGCGCGTTTTCACAACAGGTGCCGGGGAGGGGGTGCCGCGCTGCAGAGAGGTAGTCCGGCCGGCGGGTGGTCAGTCACCGGCTAATGAATTCAGGGCGGCCACTTCTGGCCGGTTCGGCGGCTGGTCGGGGCGCCGCGCCTCGGCGGAGAGAGCTGGGAGGCGGGGAAGCGGAGGGGCGGCCGGACCGGACGCCGACGGAGCGCCGCTGACCAGGCCGGGGAGGGCCGAGTGACGAGCTTTCGTCGCCGGGTGACGCCGGTCTGACCGGCTCTGCTCAGAGCTCAGGTTCCCTGTACACATATCTATGAGAGGCGTTTTGATCCCGGCAATAATGACACCAATGATCATGGCGTGTCATGCATTTACTTCGCATCGTTCCATACGTATGGCTTAATGCTTGATTCGGGTCAATGGGTTACAAGTTGCACGATAAACACGACGATACGACGAAAATGATGACACGTCAAGAGCTTGAGAATGACCTTCAAATTCAAAACAAAACTCTCGTCTTCACATTGGTCAAATCGAGATATGAGGGCAGCGCGACTCCGTGAGATAATAACGGTTGGCGGCACGTGGTTCCAGGACGAGACCGCATGATGTGAACATACCCTACGCAGCACAGACAGCTGGAAAGGGGGCAGCTCCAAAGCGGCGGCCACCGTTGACCTCGTGATACGTTCACTCACAGTGGCCCGAGGGGTGAGCAGCGACCGGACGGCACGCTGACCTCGTGATACGCTCACTCACAGTGGCCCGAGGGGTGAACAGCGACCGGACGGCACGCTGACCTCGTGATACGCTCACTCACAGTGGTCCGAGGGGTGAACAGCGACCGGACGGCACGCTGACCTCGTGATACGCTCACTCACAGTGGTCCGAGGGGTGAGCAGCGACCGGACGGCACGCTGACCTCGTGATACGTTCGCTCACAGTGGTCCGAGGGGTGAACAGCGACTGGACCGCCCGCGGGGCCATTTAAGGCCACGAAAACGCCAATGTGGTCGCGGCGCGTAATAAGGTTATTGGTGTCACATCAGCCCAGTGACCTTTTTACCGGTGAAATATGAGCTCGACGGCGCGCCCCCGAGGCGATCCGGGCCGCGACATTTACGATTTTTTTGCACCCAGCCGGCGCAAAAAATCGCGGGCGGCGATGCATTCCCAGAGCAGCACAGGCGGTTCGTGTTCAACAAATGGGTTTGGGATTACCGATAAAGTTAGCTTACCGTTGAATGCCGGCAGAGTGAGTGACAATAGAGGATAGCAGCAAGTGGAGATATTTTACGCTTTACCCTGGCCTTCACTACAGCCCTCACATCATTCATGCAGTGTTCCGAAACAGCAGCCCGTTTTTTCAATGCTGTTCGATGTTTAGTGGGCGGTGGGATTTCCTGCTGGGGAACCTCCTGGGCAAGGTCATCTTGTGCGTCTCCTAAGCTTTTGCAGAAAGAAGACAAGGAAACCCACACAACAACTTTATCACTACTTTCTGTTTCAACTACTCAGAAATGTACTATGCTTCCCTAATTTGGATAAAAGATATCTTACGCTTCCCGGTCATTTCGGGTTTTGGGAAGGCTAAGCTGAAATTTATTACATTTTTATAGCTGAAGCTGAAAGGCTTTTTGTTGTATTTTTTATACCAATGAAAAGAAGAAGAAAAATCTTAGACGTAAGCTGACCACTTAAATCTACAAAGGTTAAGTCTTTGCTTGTTAGGCAGCCATCTTTGTAAATGAACACGTTTAGGTTGGACAAGCAGCAGTTACCCTTAAAAGTCTTCGGGTGGCAATGAAGTACTGTGATGATAAGCTTTTGCTCAGGTTGTAAGATAAAATGATTTGTATTGGCAGATATTGGGATAGAATTAACTGCATGGTGCTCCATGGACTCTGTAAGTAGACACCTTTAGTGCAAAAACCTTAGTTAACTTCACGACTTGATGCAGAAAATGTCTTGTGAACACGGATTTGGATTCATCAGCTCAACAATTGGGTGCATAACTGTCCTGTTGCTCCCTCCCTGTTGCGTAGTCCCTTACTACATCCACAGCAAAAAGGCTCGTGCAGGAGTGCAAGGGCCATGCTGACCCACGAAGGAGGCTCAGCCTGAAAGTACATGAAACACACGGGCCTCGTGGCTCCGCACAGGCTGCAGAAAGCTCCGGATTTGACCCGAAAGTGCGCCGCACAATGCACGAGGTTTATTCGCTTCGGGGTTCAGAGAAGCCTCTTTCATTTGAATTTGGAATTATTAGGTTCGTCTCCTCCCCTTTTTACATACAAGCGGGGAGGTTACAAGGGGAAGTAGAGGACGACAAGATGAAGATTAACATTCACGCAGTATATGTCCCTTTGACTTTCACCCCTGTGACATTTTACATTTTGGCTTCGATGTTTTGACATTTTGCATTGGTCTTTTATTTTCCATTTTTTCCTCTTTTGGATTCTTGCCATTTGACTTGTTGTTCGTTTAACTTTTTGACGTATGGCTTTTATGCACCGATTTCTATGTGCTTTGACTTTTTGTGATTGATTTATATTTTTTGGTTTTACCATTTGTCCTTTGGCTTTCTGTGCTTTTGCCTTTTTGCATCTGACTTTGATCCCGTTTGACCTTTTGCCACTTGACTTTATCTCACTTCACTTTGGTTTTATTATCGATTGCTCGTTTTATCGCATTAAAGGACACTCCGTCGCAATTTGTTCTTGCATCAATCGGATGTGCAACACAAATTATTCTCAGTCAATTCGAGAACCGCCCGCAGCTTGCGTAAGGGATGGTTAGCTCTTACCTAAATTTCTTCAGCCTAGTTACCGCAATTCTTCGTTTGTGGAACTATTCGTGTTGCATATTTGGCGCACATGTGTGCATAGTGCATGCGCATGGTCTTCATGCACGGCTTCACAACAGCATTCAGATTTTGCTTCATTCTTCGTGCTTCCATGCACGGCTTCACAACCGTCCATTCATGTATGTCGTGCATAGGACATGGCGCAATTCAAACAACAAACATTTGTTTCCCCTGCGACGAAAATGATGTAGGTTGGCGCTGCCGCTCTTTCCCTGTCCTGTTTGCGCCGCTGCCAGGAGGGTTCCTTCCGCGTGGTGATACCAGGTCACATACCACTGCCTGGCAGCCAACTAGTGACCAATGAAATCAATACGATGTGTTGAAGGGGCGTGACCAGTCTGCCATATTTGCACTGGTGAAGGCGATTGGCTGCTGCAGGCCTGCGCGGGTCGGATGTGAAAGCTCTGACCACCGCCCGCCATTTTTTTTTTTAGGTCAGGCGCACAGTCAGGGTCTTTGGAAAAGGACACTGGAAGAGTGTGAAGCTTCATTGCACTGAAATTGCCACTTTATTAGGAGCGGGTAATGGGAGCAAACGCTGCGTTGGTGGGGCGGGAGATTTAGGTGTCTGCTGTTCATTGCATCTGGAAAGCATTGGATGAAAAGCTACCTTAAGATCGAGTATGGAGGTACAGAGTATAGAGGGACATCCACCAATAACTTACTGTCAGGAGTAAATGGTGATGCAGATGGAAGGTGACGTCGATGCTGATGGTGACACGAGTTTTAGGCCCCGGGTCATCTGCATGTGAGGAAAGGGAATGGTGTGGAGGAAGAGGGAGTAGGTTTGTACGTTTACCCCTCGGCGCCACCAGATTGGCTGCAGCAGACAACCAATGTCAGGCTGCTCTGTACCATTCTGATCCATTCTACCCCTCCCTGTAGTAGGCTCACATGCCTGTCAAAGTGATGTCCGACACCTACAGGCAAAGGGCAAAAGGGACACGCTTCATGTGTCGCGGACAAGTCCGGGCTGGGGGGGGGGGGGGGGGAGAGGGGAGTTCAGACCCGGTGGCCGGTGTCATGAGTGCAAAGGCCGCCGCTTGCCGAAGTGGTGAGACAGGAGCGTCACCGTGGGGTGGGGAGATCGCGCCGTTGTCCTCGGTTCGCCATGTCCGCCGCTTGGCCGGCGAAAAACAGCGTGATGTGGATAAAACGAGGTTCAGGCTACACTCCAACGTCTTCGTCCAGTTTCTTTTAAGACAATGTTGCATAAGATGCCTGCAACTGGCACGCCCACATGACCACATTGTTGCAAGAATCATATCTGTATTAACGTTCACGCGATGGCTTGTTGTTTTTGCGATGGTAACTTTTCTCATATGAGTCTGTATCAAAATTGCACTTCCAAAAACGATTACATGGCAGTAATGCCGAGACAAACCAACGCTTCATTACTTGAATGCAGTCAAGTGCTCGGTTATTAGCAGGCCCATAAGTGCCGTGTGGTGCAAGATGGGCCGGCAAAATGAAAAATTGAACTCGTTCAACAAGAGCCAACTCGTTCTTAATTTCATGACTTAGCCTAGTCTGCTCAAATGTTTGGTTAATGTTTTCTTCAGCCAAGCCTGGACCATTGTTGCCAGCCACGGCAGGGTCTCTCCGTTCAGCTTCTTGTTGTCGTTGATAAAGCTTTCTACCAAAGGACCTGAAAAAGTAGAACACGTCGGCTCATTCATACAGAAATGTTTCTCGCAGCATGCGGCTCATGCACAGCTACTGGATTTGCTCATGATGGTCTTATTTGAAAGGTGTAATTTCTATGCGTCATTACAATAACGAGACGGTGAAGGAGCGCGTTAAAGGCGATGCAAAATGAAAAGAGTGCAAATGTTGTTAGAGAATTGCGGGGAATAGCTTATTTTCATTCGTCTGTCGTCTTCTATCTGTTGGGACGGCGCGGAGGGAGGGAGGACGGGGAGAGGGTCAGATGGTGATACCAACCAACTGGACGGTCGACGTGACCTGATCGGGTCGATGGCGCCGCTGGACTGCTCGCTCTAACACTTCTCTCACCTTTCGTAAGTTGTTCAGTGCATTAGCGAAGAGCATTATTCACATAGATGAGACAGTAGTATTAGTCTTATTCCTCGGAAGACCAGGAGAATGGAGATATAGTTTGGCTGATATTTCGGCAACATGCCTTAATCTAAACAATAGCGGAAGTGATGGGGCGATGCGATTTGCGACGGGACGATTCACTTCTGATATTGCTTCCACAAATGCATGTTTCCGAAATATCAACCTAACTATATCTCCATTTTCCTGTTTTTCCGAGGAGTAAGGTTAATACTATTGTCTTTTCTCCCACCTTTTTCTCCAACCTGGAAACAGTCGGAGCCTAAAAATTTGTTGACATATTTAGCTTTTCCTGCCTGGTCTCATCCCTTCTACAAGCTCAGTCCTACCCCATCCTTAGCTGTCTGCAGCTCACTTGTCATTGTAGCGGCTCATGATAAAGCACGAGAGGATTTCCTACAAAAAGATTCGCGCTTGATTAAAGAACCCTCTTTTCGAAAACGTCTCAAGTCTCTCAAGTTATCGACTTCCTTAAATTGCATATACTGCATCACTGCGACGCTACAATACTGCAGCAAATTAGGGATGGCTTATGGATTGAATGAAATGGCTTATGGATGGCAAGCTAAAAAAATGCGATCCAGCCACAGACGGAGTGGTAGTGGGATCCATAGCCGGATCAGTGATACTCTCGGTGTTCCCAGATGTGACGTGGAATCGGGGTACGACATCTTAATTTCGAAGTGATGGACAGCATTTAACTGCTTTGACCCCGAACTGATACTAGCTTGGTGGACAGGGAAGGTCTGGCCTAGCGGTAATAACGTCCGGCGGATACGAGACTACAGAGAATTTGGATTCATCATTGGGTGAAAGGGGCGGGGCACATGGGAAAAAGGCCCGTTTGTATGTACCCTCACTCTACCTGGATCTGTAAAACCGCACAAATGCAGAGCTGTTGAATGAATGACCAGAGAAATGCAGAATTGTTTATTACAAATGCCCTACAAAGTTACCCACAAGCAGAATTGTTTATTACAGAGGCCCTACAAATGCGTGCCCCCTGCGTCGTGTAGATCTCGTAGTCATTATTGAAGCACGTAAACTGCACAGATTGTGAGCACATCGTTCTAATGGCATGAGCGTTTAGATGGATTATACCTCGTAAAGGGCGCGAGCTGATGTAAAAGACGTGGTTGAGCTCACCGAGCAAAGGGTTGTTGCCGACGTCCGCCTCCATAGAATCAACCTTGATGTCGATTTTGACGTCCTCCACGACATACTTCCCCGAGGCACTGCCAAATATCGCTTCCCCTGTCGCTTTCACACCACCTGCAACGTGGGGTTGATGGTCATTCTGGTTCTGACCACGCTTCATAGAGCGCGAAAAACTGCTGTGTTTCGCTGCACAAATAATTTCTCTTGACATATATATATATATATATATATATATATATATATATATTACTCTGCTTGTCTACATGCCTTTCTTTCTCTGCCCCCCCCCCCCCCCCCCCACCTACCTCTCTACCTATCTATTGATTTATGTACTTACTGCTAGACATGACGTATTGCAGCTTTCGCTGTTAAATGTCAAGACAACGCTTCGCAAAAACCGTCCGATTTCATGCGAAGTCTCAATGACGACATTCCGGGATGCTGTGTGACAAAATTGGTGCCCCATGTAAACAGTGGGCTGCACCACATCAAGAAACAATCTGTGAATAGATAACTTATTTAGCTGTGCCAGGGCCTGGCGATTTCCAGAACCTTACCTCACCTATAATATGGCCTCGATATCGACGGCCCACTTATGCAATAACTTGCAGACAAATGTAGGAATGAGCAAACACCGGAATTGCCAAGCTAGCTAGATAATGTTAGGTAGTCGATAGATCTCCCAATATATAAGTAATACAAATCTATGATAGGCTATACTAAGCCCATTTTGGTATTTCCTTACGGATATTGATCGTGAGAGGAATCTCCTGCTTAAGTGGGCCGTATTTCACGGCGAACTGGCCCTTGATGACCATCTTTCCAAGCTTCAGAGTCGTCTGCACAGAATTGCCAGATAACCTGCAAAAGGTAAGCGGAGATCAGACCATTTTCAAAGGCACTAACAATTACTAGGCGGAGTTTATGATTATCGACAGGGCAAAAATATGACGTTTTGAAAATGTCACAGCCACTAATGCTAACAGACATATCAGAGCTTCTTGATGTTTATCCAAACAAATGGTGCATGAGATATCAGCAAAAAAAAAACTTCACCAACTCTTAGTAACATAGGACAGTGCCGTTGGCCTTACGACCCGTCAAATAACCAAGGTTAAATGGACAGATGCATTACTTTTTCGAATACATGCCTTTGGTACCATGATTATAATGTTTAAAAAAGAATTAACGATAAAGCAAAACATGATTAATTGTTTTGGCACAGGTATGCCGTCAAAGAGCTATTAACTTTTTCTCCTTTCTCCTGTATATTCAAGTTAAGTTAATTAAGTTAATCATACACACACACACACACACACACACACACACACACACACACACACACACACACACACACACACACACACACACACACACACACACACACACACACACACACACACACACACACACACACACACACACACACACACACACACACACACACACACACACACATATATATATATATATATATATATATATATATATATATATATATATATATATATCATACTTAAGTATCAAGTTGAGTTATGTGGTGTCTATTCCTGTCCGTTATTCTAATTTTGCCGTATTACAGCAAGCACATCAAGCCATGAAATACATTTTGTACCGTTAGTCTTTCACCCTTTTGAACACAGTTCAACCTAAAAAGATGTTCTGAGAGAAAACGAGGTTTTTTCTGGCATTATAGGCATACGGCTCAGATGTTTGCAATTTGTGGTGTTGGATTTATTTTCATCACGCATCAACAGCAATTTCAAATGAAAGCGTTTCTTTACAGAAAACTTTATTTTGCATGGAATTTAAAACTAAACCAGAAATGCACAAATGGTTTGCTTTTTTAACGTAGATGATGTGCTCAAAATTCATTATTGGCGCCATTATCCAGTGCGCGCTGTGGCAAAATGATATGATTTGTGCTGACTTTTCCTCATTCAAGTTTACTAGTCCTCGTGGGATGTGACAAAAGGAAATAGTAGAACCACCACGGTATACTTCCGATACGCAGTACCTTGCAATCCCATTGCAGCCAACATCCAGCGGCGGAAACATTCCATTCAACTCCCTAACCTATACCAGTTGCGGCTTGAAGAGGTTTGACCTAGGGGAGGTACTGTGTGTACTTACTCTACGCTGTCGACGCGGAGAGTGGTGAGCCCGGCGACACTGATGTCGCTGCCAGAGACAGTGACCGGACCCACAGTCTTCTCTGGGAATGCAATCTTCGAAATGGGGTCAGAGCCCACGCCGCCGAACTTGGTTTGGGCCGCTGGTCGTGCGGACAGTGATACATTATCAGCAACAGTTGTATTCATTGGTATGGTTGTCTGGTATCAATGAGCTCGACCAGTGCATCACTTTTGAATTCATCTCGAGGCAACCAATTATGCACCAACCAAGGCGCTCCCATAGCCATCACATCCGTAATTTTCCTTTGATGCCTATCAAACACAGGGATTGGGCAACGTCAGCTGTCCAACCTGTCCGACCGCAAGTTGCACGAATATATATATATATATATATATATATATATATATATATATATATATATATATATATATATATATATATATATATATATGCTTTCCCAGAAATTTGAGGAGTTTCCGTAAACTACGGCAAGCTTGTATATGTGGTCAACAGGAATCATGCGATCAGATGTTTGCAGAAAGCGTTTTGTACTAATTATCGAGAGGGGCACCCCAGCCACGAAAGGGGTTATAGTGGGCAGTAACTGTGCTGCAGGTGGTTTGCATATGGTGAATACGAGAAAACCTTAATCCTTAAGTGGTAGAGACCTAAGAGACGGCGAGAGAAAGAGAAAGAAGAAAACCCTCTCATCACGTACTGCAGGCAATTTTGATGACTGAGTTCGCGGTGCGACAGGAGGCTCTCGTTACCACGGCTGAGGTGTGATGTAATGCGACAAAAGATCCCGTTGATATTAAAAGGTGCCCGTCCGTAATTAGAGGCATGGCTCCTGACAGTCTTCGTTCCCATCTGATTGCGCATCTGAGAGTTTAGGATGGTGTTATGAAACCAGATGAGTGCTGGTTGAACTGAAGTTGTAGAGCATAATACGTGCTCGAGGAGTCTCCAACATTCATTTTCAAGGAGTTTGGCTCACATGCGTTTTTAGATAAGTAACAGATGGCTTTATATAAGTACACGAAAATGTGCTTATTTCGTCTATTTTTTTGCTCTAAGCATGTATGTCTCTGCGGTATTGCACCTCAAAGCACTGATAGGCGTCATCAGGACCATAACACATTAAACGATTTGTTAAGTCTGAGGTGCCAGTTACGACAAACGTCCAGTATGAACACAGGGGCAAGCACTCTGTAAACATCCCATGTGTCTTCACCTGATCCAATCCAACTTGTCACCAGAAACGCGCAGTGAAGTTACCATCCTGTCATGACCTTTACCTTCAATCAAGGCCTGCTTGCTCTTGTCCATAAGGGACCGGAACTTGGTCAGGACGCAGGCGTTAACATCTGAGGGGACTCCACATCCTAGGTTGCTGGCGATCTTGGTGATCAAGTCGCCCGGAGGAGCAGCCAGCGCTTCACCTGCGTACAAACCCGCGTCAGTCACAGCTCGCCAAGCGTAGCAGCAAGCGGTTCGATAAGCGCCCTTCTTCTGAAGACAATTTCTGCCGGGTCGTCTTAGTGGAAACTAAATTGATGTTATAAGTACCACAAGCCACCTAGTGCTACAAGCACAAACTTAAGCTAATTAATCCGGCTAGGGAAAAACAAAATTGGTAGTCTTTTGAACTTCAACCTGGATTTTAGCGCGGTATGACCTGGTACCTCAACCCTGACGTGCATACACTTTTCACAAAACGAGACATCGCAGGTGAACGTGACCTTTTACCTCAACCACAGCCGGACGGCAGCCATATTTACTCGCACTACTGTTGAATGACCGATCACGTCATCGCCCATTGGCACAAATTAGAGCTAAAGCTCAGGCTGCGCCCATGCGTAGCTCGAGGTCATGTTCGATTCATTAATCTATTAAGTTATCAGCTAGACACCGATTGCACCAATAAATAAAACTCACCAGAGAAGCAGGCTACGAAGAGGATGCATGCCAGAGATAAAGGCGTCATCATCTGCAAGAAATACAGTTGTGGGAGATAAAGCAACGCTGCATTATTTGTGCACTCTGTTCATTCCACTAAAACATCAAGTTTACTGGTCAGTCTCCTGCACCAAAGTGAAGAACTCTATACATAATTTTGGTACAAACGCGAAGAAAATAAAGTACAATACTCAAATGGGCATGGCGATGTCTCACTGAAAGAGATAACTGGAGTGTTTAGGAGGAAACGCAAACCTTGTTTTGTATCATTACTCGTCATGTTTCAAATACATTCATTTTACGTAGATGTAGTACGTAGTACTACATCACGTAGATGTATCCCAATGCAAGCTATTCGTGATTCCTCTGCGAATGCGAAAACGGGCAAACAGTTCAAGTTTAAACCGATGCATACCTATGTTTGACACTAAATTGACCAGGGATCTGACCTAGATTATTCTTATATAGATGCATCAGATAGGTAATGTCATTGTCTCATTTCATTAGTGCACTGACGTACTTGGGAAAAAGTTTTGAAGCACGTAAACTTTCTGTAGAGTTGCGAGAAATATTTCATTTACACAAGAGCCTTTCTCTTGACCTTATTTCTAGTATGCAGCCTGAAGAAGGGTGGCAAAATGTGCTCGTGTTTGCTTATTTGTAACGTGCTTCCATGCACTTAAATTACAAAGTGCTCCCTCACTAAGAAAGGCGCCCCGTGATCTCGCAAATGAAGCTCCTTATTTTGAAAGAGGGCTCCTGGCTGACAAAGAGGTCTCACGAACCAACAACAAAACATCTTGATCCCAAATTAGGGCCGCTGGATTCGGAACAAAGCCTTTCTTTTTCGTGACGAGGCTTCCTGATCCAGAAAAATCCCCGTTGATGCAAATGATGAGCCCCATAATTCTGCGACGGCCCTTGTTCCGAATGAGAGCTGTCAGATCCGCAAAAGGGGCCTCCCAATGCAAACCCGGCTCTTGATCCCGCTTAGTTGGGCCTTTTGATCAATACTTGGAGTTCCCCAATTCAGGCAAGGGCTTCCGATTCCACATAGAGGGCTTACTGATGTATGGCGGGTGTTTTATTCCATGCCACATCTAACAGGATTTTGCGGCTCACAAATGGGCTTCCAAATACAAAACAGGGCCTCCTTATCCCCAAATTAGGGCATCTTGATACACCCTAGCTGCCTTCTGATGCCTAAAGAGGGCCAAGGAGGCTGTTGCGCGAGAAGTGTTTGCTTGTATATAAAGATATCTCCTAATCTAGAGTACGGGCCACCTTACGAGTAAAGCGGCATTCAATGTCAGCAAATGGGTACGCCCGACACAAAACAGGGGCCCTGACCCAGAGTACAGGCTATCTAAAATAAAGACGGCCTCCTGATCCAGAACACACACCCCTTGAAGCAGGAAAGGGACTCCTGAGTCCGATTCACTACTTCTAGCTCAGTTATAGAGGCCTGATCTGAATTTTTACGGCACATCGGTAGCTAGAAATTTTTTCCTTGAGGAAAAGGAGGCCTGCCAAATTTCCAGGAGCAAAAGCATGCTCTTGTCTCCTCTTCCTACCACATTGCGCCATCCCTGGGTGCAGCTCGAGACTCGTTCGAGAAAAAAGATGAGCAGAAGTTCATTACGAATATTAAACTTTTTAACTCACTATACTTCAAGATTAGCCATCTGAAGTGCTCTTTCGCGAAGGGGCTGTTCCACGTTTTACTTTCGCGTGTTATGGCGATTAAACAATTGCTTGCATCCCTGATGTACATCATTTAAACACAACCATACAGTCCTTTGAGAAAATAACTTTTTTGAGGGAGTCCAAATCGCTCTGAATTCCATCTTTCCCCACTTCCCTCCTGCAATTCCCCAAATCTTACCGTTTGTCGGAGGAGGCTGTCTGACTCGGTGCGATGGGCCGGCAGGATGCAGACTGGCGCCGCTGGCGCGTCCCGCACGCCGATATGCCCTCGCTTCGCGTGATGATGACCTGTCACAGTGACATTTGGCCGCCCTGACACGGTGTCAGCACAGATAGTCGGTAAACAACCTGTCAACCGGTCATCCCGAAATGTCGCCAAAGGTCAGCTTACCTTTGGCGATGAGGCACGGTCTGAGGTGACTCAGCAGGTCCGCGTTGGTCGTGGCTCGCCAGCTGAATTGGTCTGATCCTCCGATGCGGGCATGAATACTGCCGAAGAGTGCGGCACTTCTGAAGGGCTGATGCTTGGTGTTACTTGCCGAAAGGCTTGATGACACCATACGTTCAGACGATCTCATTTGCACGGTCTATCTGCCGTGGAGCGAAACATGTAGCCTGCGCTTAATCCTTTTGTATGTATCAGCCCGTATTCCAAGCTTTTTATCTAGCCTCACAAATGATTTGAAGTCGTCAATCAATAGTATTCGGGCCGACTAAACCACTGCGGTCAATAGTTTGATTTTGATTTACACGAGCATTTCAAATCATAGTTTTTTCATTCCATTTTGTTCTCACCTGGGTATGCCATACCATTAAACAACCTGAGTTGCCTGTAGAATGCGTACAGGACAGGGCGCCGTTGGTTTTTTTGGGTGGGCTCAACCCTCCGCCCCTAAAGGGAGGAGGGAGTGCTTGATGCACCCTCTTAAGTTTTCTGAGGATGCCTCTTGAGAATGTCGTGCAATCTCGCCCACATTTTTGGTAGACTTTGGAGTACATTGCACGTGTTTTGCACTTAACACCCGTCAGTCTCTGACGTTTTTGTTTTCGAAGCGAGCGGGTTTTCAAGAACACTGCACGGTGATCTACGGCCTGAGTGGGCGGCGAGTGGCAACCGACGATGCTGCAGAACGCGCGCAGCATATATTATTGCTATTTTAACGAAGCCAAACGCCATAAATGTACGGCAAAAGACATCAAAAATGCACTAGGTTGCTCAAAGGAAAGCTCAGTTTTAAGTAAGTAAAGTGCAGGAAGCATGCCTATTTAAGTGTAGAGTCGCTACAAGGCACGGCTCTTGCAAATATGAGCGTGTAAAGCTGAAAACGTTCAATTTTCGGAAAAAAATCTTTGGCTTTGCAAAATGGGTGTTAATAATAGACTAAGAAGCAAAAATATCATTACCAATTACGAGAACTTGCTGAAACAAATTCACTGATGCTTTCCGCTAATTTCTATCTTGGTTTGGAAACGGAATCTTGGTGGTCGCTTGACCCCCGATCAGTCCACGTCATAAAAAACGACAAATCAGGGTAAGGCTTGAGGTTGGCGGCTGAAGTTAAGCTAAAAAAGTGAGCATAAAGTGAACAAAAAAGAGTGAGCAAACCTTGAATCATTCAGTTCAAGGTTTGTCGGGAAACTCAGAATAAAGTGGTTTATCATAAAAACGTCTTTACGAGGATATCAAAAACTCGAAACTGAGCACATCGAACAGATCACGGCAATGGTAGCAGTTTATTATCGCCACGCATAGCACAGATGTATAGAATGTAGAACTGATGTACACGGCATGGTACAGCACCACCGCGAGGCATCGTTAGGTGTATTCTAGGTACCCCCGTAGTTGGATACTTAAAGACAAGTTATTGTGACAATGCCACTGGAATGACCTAGTTCTCAACAACGAGCGCGTCTGCGAACCAGGGAGCCAATCATTCCCGATCGGCGCCTGCATCTCTCAAGACCACGCTGCATTCCTGTGGACCCCTAACCTTTATGAGAAGTCAGCGGTGCAAAAAGCCGTCCCGGCGCCGTTGATGCGTCCCAGAGCCATGCTGTTCGGGGTGCCCGCAGATATAAGTGTGCACCAGGCACGGACCGAACCCAATCAAAATGCTGGTGTCTCGCCACTTCGCCTCTCCCTTCCAAAACGTCGCGTGGCGTCGCGGCGCAAACGGTGACACATTTTGCGCGCGTCGTAACATACACCAATCTTTTTATCCGTGTTAATTTATGTTAAAGAAGTAGATTCCAAATTTAGCCTGTCTGGTGCTTTGACTAGATGTGCATAGATGTTGCCGCCGTCCTTAACTTTAAAAGCTACTTTTATAGCTATTTTTTATATTTTTTATGCGTCCTTCATAAAACAAACATCGCATGTTTTTATTAAATGCATTGTTTGTCTTTTCATGACACAACGTATGGTTCACAACAACAGAGCTAGCTCCAGATAAAAGAAAAACCAAGGTGGTAGAAGTCCAATGCTTACAGCATGTTTCTAAAAAATGTTTTATGCGCACGAAATAACGTTTCAAACTGCGCAGTGATCCCGTCCCGCGCGTCGATCCCGTCCTGTTCTGCAGAATCACCTGACACAAGATTATTCATACCCGGGATACTAACACAAATAACATTTTATAGAAGTTCTACGAACTTTCATATTACCAAGATATGTTATCATGCCGGGCCGCTGTGTCCGTGTAATGCGTGATTTGCTCTTCGACTGATTGAAGTCAGTGGTTCGTTCAACAGCATTAGACAACAGCAGTGGTGAATCGCTCGTGCTGGTCAAGTTTTCAATTTGGCCTACGCTTCGGCGCTTATGATTACCAGGGCAACGGATTTCATGAACAGAGCCGAAAAAGGATGCGGGACGTGCAAAATTCGTGCGAAAATTTGCACAACTCAGGGTGCAAATTTGGAAACTGGAATGTAATGCCGCATTCATAATAACTCGCAACTATTGTCAAAAAAATATAGCATTGCCTCTCATTCTTCTCTTCTCGTAAACGGTGCGGCGCTTTCATATTTAGCAGCCATGCAGTATTGTATCGAGGTTAGTCGCTAGGCGTAAACCTTCCACGGACTAGATGGCGCTAGCGTCGCCCGCATCGCAGCCGGCCACGCTAAGGTTCCTTGTCGGTGCTGTGCAGGTGCCTGATCATTCTGCGTTTTATACATTGTTAGACGAAAATTAGATACATCCAGCTTCATCCTAAGGCTGAAATTACCAGATATGAGTCTTGCTAAGGCTGTACTGGTCAACAATCACCAACACAATTCCCTCTGGTGTGGGAGAGTTAGTAGAGCTTTATCAGTATTACTCTGAACTACCTCACACCGTAATTACTGAGGGTAGCATTAGGATGCTTATATCTGCGGACAGCTACAATCGTCAGGCAGATATGTAGCGGTTAAAGCTTGAAGAATGCGTCTTTTTATCATGCGAGTTTACTGTAGGCACAACTAGTGCCACCTTGGTGTCAGCTGCTCAGATACGAAAGTTGGATATTCATGAACAATTTTCTGGGCGAGACTAAGTCATGGAAGCATGCCAGTCAATTCAATGGCATCATTTTCCATACCTTGATCTACTGATACATTATGCTTTAAGCACAGCTGGCGCAGCATATACTGCCGACATCTTGAAAAAGTTTACATCATCCTGAAAACCTTGGCAGGCAGGTGCCAAATGTTTTGCGGCATATGGAGCACTCGCACCTCCTATCACTGAGTATAGCCTTTATATTAGTTTGGTTTTGCCGCAACCCACAGCCTTCAACACAAACCTTCAACGCACGTTTCCACCGATTGCTGGTTTTCAGCGATATGCAAAACAAAGCTTATTCGTCGCCCTTATCCGAAGACGGCGTAAGTACGGAGGTACGGAAGTACACTTAAGATGAAAGGTGCTGCTGTGCGTCAGCCGAGTGACTCAAGACCGGAATCTGTCGCGTAGATATGGAGCAAATCGCCCGGATACTATTTAGGCATGATGCGTCTTACCCCACTCCCTCCTATGACAGCTATATTTTCTTTTCACGCAATAAGGGTGTTTATTTCAAAGAGTAAACATGAAGCAAATTTGAAGTAGCAGCTCAACACGCGAGCAGTGCAGTTACCGGCGCACTGTTTCGGAACGGTCGCACGAGTCATTGCAGTCTGCACTTTTGGCGCTCACGAAAAGCGCTTTTGTTTAGAATCACGTCGTCCTGGAAGTAGCACGGTAGGGCGCACCAGGTCTCAGTGGTGAATGCTTCAGTTGCTTCAGCTGGTCAGCGGCCAGCTGAAGAAGAACTCCACTGGAAGAGGCTCTCAAAAGGGGGTGCATGCGGCCAGCGACATGCACACCGATGCGGCCCAGAAAAGCGGCGGGCTCCGCTGTTTCGCCGCTCTAGGTACCTGAGCAGGGTACGGAAGAGCTTCTCGGCATGGTGGTGCATGCAAACCATCCTACTCATCACCGCTTCCAGCAATTCCTAGCACTGGCTCTCTGGGCCTCCGGCTTTGACATCAATGCCTCTAGCTCTAACATTCACACCTTCACCAGCCTACCGGCCAGTACCTGCGGCCTTATGCCACAGGTGTAGTGTGTATGGTATACACGTCACCGGCTGCAGGTGAATGTCATCGACACGTGAATGTGCACCAATATGAGTGTTGAAGCTTTCAAAGAAATTTTGGGAATGCAGATGCCATTTTGGGGAATTCGATCTTCCCATGTAACGACATGAACCTACACGTGGAATATTGAAGGGAGTGTTCCACATTTGTATGGGGTCTTGCCCCCTAGTTTCTGAGCTACATGCATGCAAAGGTGTGCAGACTATTCTAAGGTTACTCAGGCATGCGTGACGCCATAACACGCCATTCTAATCCTGCGGCCCCACTGGCCAAGCGGCGTTCAAGGTCAGTAGAATGTAATCGACGAGTCATTCATATCTGTAGCAGGTGAGCACGGTTTCCAGAAATGACGTCCTTTAATTGGCTCACAATGAATGTAATGCAAGATGCGATGACAATGAAACAATGACGCATTGAGGAACAAAGCTAACAGATAAATTATATTGTCCAGGGCGGTCTTTCCCGTTTAAAGGTATACCAGTAGCTATAAGTGAGCTTATTACATCATATTTGATGCCTATCGCAATATCTTCAAATGTGGAATATTCCCCTTCAAGGTGATGCGGCTGCATTCCCATAAAGTGAGTATTCTACATTTGTGTAGGTTTCGAGCTGAAATAACCATCTTGAAGATCTCTCGGTGCAGTTCACAGCCTTGCGTTTTTTAAGCCCTGAAGTGCTTTGGTCTCTGGGATATACGCCCGCGAAGACATGTTGACTATTTCGGGCAGACCATTTCAAGGTCGCACAGGCATGCATGACGCCATATAAACGTCATTGAAACAATGCCACCCTATTGGCAATGCGGTATTCGAGACCAAAAAGAATATGATCGTCTAGCCGCTCATGTCTGGCGTTCGCGAGTACGACTTCCAAATATAACAGACTTCAATTGGACCTCGGTCAACGTTGTCCAGGCAGTGCAACATTCAAATACGACGAAATGTTTGGATTACAGCCCTTTTGATCAGAAATGATCATTTTAAATCCATGGGATGCAGGAGACTGGCAAACGGCGCAGCGGGGCTACATGCGCCTGGTAGGCCACCCGTCGAGCTTTTACCCGCGCATTGACCCCTAGGAGTGTGCGCCGGACATCCGGTCGGAGTCCCCCTTCCCATGCGACCTCTTGGCCCACTTGTGGCTGGCGCATGCAGCCTGCCCCGGATAAGCGCGGCGTCGAGAGGATTCAGGATAAGGCAAGAAAGGGGATAAGAGGGTCGCATAATCAAATAGGAATCACGTTTTGAGCGACGTGATAAAAGACGTTGGACATGTATGTTACATATTATGGAAGTAAGACTTATAATCGTGCAACTTAGAAATAGCGCCATAATGGGAATACAAGTAAATAAATTTAACTCACGGACAAATATGCTAGAACACCACGATGATGCCCAGAACACGAGCACATAGCGATATTTGACTCAGTAAACATGTTCGGCTCCGCCGGTACCATCTCTCACTGAGCTGAATTAAAACAAGTGAGTGCTATGGCGGCAATTTCACACGGTCAGTTTGGCAGCATCTTTAGCATCATACACGGGTTGCGGAAGTAATCAATGACACACAGAGCAGCATATTTGATGAACAAAGTGATTTTGTTGTCCTGAGCAGCCTTCCTCTAAAAGTATGACAATATTTGCAAGTGAGCTTATTTTACCATATCTTGTGCTTGCTTCAATATGTTTCAAATTAGAGTGTACGCTTTAGTACTGAAGTTACACCTATGGATAATTATTTTCGCGAAGCGTATATTTGCCATCAGATGACACACCTCTGTAGAAGGTCAGAATGTCAGATGTCAGATGGTCAGAACCGCAGCCAAGAGGCCAGGGCTCATGGGCCTAAGACGGTGAATGGGACTGCGCGTGTGACTGGGGCTTGGTCTTAGAAGCTTCCCAGCCCCTCACTGACGCCGATTCTGGTAACCGTCCGCGCTGCAAACTCCGGCGGCGTCCTTGGGTTCGGTCGTCCCGACGATCGCAGAGCGGCGTTTGCCCGTGGGGTTTTGCACCACTTTCCGGTTATGATAGTCCCTCCTGTGCCAGCTGATGGTGTGCCTGCCGGGATGTGCCTGGACTTGCTGGGATGTGCCTGGACTCGCTAGCATGTACCTGGACTCGCCGGGATGTGCCTGGACTCGCAGGGATGTACCTGGACTCGCCGAGATGTGCCTGGACTCGCCGGGATGTGCCTGGACTCGCTAGGATGTGCCTAAACTCGCCGGGATGTGCCTGGGCTCGCTAAGATAACCCTGAACTCGCTGGGATGTCTCTAGACTCGCCGGGATGTGCCTGGACTCGCTGGGATATACCTGGACTCGCTAGGATGTACCTGGACTCGCCGGGATGTGCCTGGACTCGCCGTGATGTGCCTGGCTCGATAAGATGTGCCCGGACTCGCCGGGACGTGCCTGGACTCGCCGAGATGTGCCTGGCCTCGCTGGGGTGCGCCTGGGCTCACTGGGATGTGTCTGGATGTGCTGTGGCCGCCGCTCGACTGGTCAGCAGCCAAGAGGACATGGATAAAAAGGACTTCCGATTCCGCTCCGACTTCTTCATGCAGTCTCGTTCGCTCTCCACGCTCTACGCTTGACGTTCGCTTCAAGCGTGCTGCTTGTAACCTTAATGTCCACGCAGCCACATGGTTGCAGTCATAATATTTAGATCAATGTTCACGCAATAACAGCATGTTTGAGCAATAGATAGTTGTTTTTCATGGTTCTGTATCGAGGATGCACTATGAATCAGCGCAAAAATGAATTTGAACGCAATGGGTGACCGGTTATTAACGGCACTTAAGTGTTGTGTGATGCAAGATGAGACTGTAAACTGCAAATGCTAACAGAACTGAGCTCAAGATTCAACCGTAAGTCTCAAGAGGTCATGACCCAGTCTAGCCATTCAAATATTTGGTCAGTATGCTCTTCAGCCAAAACCGCATCAACCTTGCCAGCCACGGCAGGGTTTCTTTGTTCAGTTTTTCGTTGTTGTTGATCCAGGTTTCCACCAGAGAACCTGAAACACAGAAGGCAGCGTGGACTCACTCATACAGGAATGCTCTCGCAAATTGCAGCTCATGGTGGCTTCATTTGAAAGGCATTCTTCTATACGTCTTCACGATGATGAGTCAAGCCTGGAACTAAAAACAGTGGCGCCACGGAATTAGACAGCGATACAAAATGAGCGAGAATGCGAGGCTTGGAATACTGTAGACGAATTTTAGGGCGTAACCTATTTTAATGCCGGGACGATGTGGGGGGGGGGGGGGGGAGGGGAAGGTGTGCCACAAGTAATGGAGGTCAGATGGTGGTAGTGACCAATTGGTACAGAATACATGGCAAGAACAGCAGTCGCTATCATTTATGTAGTTGCCAACGTTTTGATACATCGCGTGCCGTCATCAGGGCAAGCATAATGGTACAAGTTAAACTAAGATAAAATAAAAGATGCAGGACCCACATACAGCAGATTTTTCACTAGTTCAATGACAGTGATCTCTGTTTCCAAACTGTCTCAAATCTCACAAATTATCTAAATTATTTAATTGTGTCTATTGCGTCACTGCAATGCTACAATGTAAGAAATTAGTGCTGGTTTAACAGTTTTCGCAGGTCATTATGTCATTGGACTTTTCGCAGCCATTGCATTGGTCTCCGCATATTACCAGAAGCAAGAGGCAATACATTGAAAACCGCGCATGGCGACGAGGAGAGTGCGATCCAGCCAGAGATGCAGTGGCGGCGGGATCCGTGACCAGACCGAGATGCAGTGGTGGCGGGACCCGTGACCAGACCAGTGGTGCTCTGGGATTTCCCAGGCGTGATGTCGAACCGCAATAAAACATTTTCATTTCGACGGGATGTACCATTTGTAATGACATTGACCCCAGTCTGATGTTAACTTGACGGACAGGATATGTAGCCCAGTGAAAATAATGTCAAACGGAAGCAGGGCTACCGATGAATTAGATCCAACAACGGAAGAGAGAGAGGAGGGACATACGGGAAATAAGCACGTTTGTATGCACCTTCACTCTATCTGCATGCACAAATGCCAAACAAATGATGAACTGTTAAATGAGTGAGCGAACAAATTCAGAACCGTTGAATGAATGACCAGACAAATGCGGAGCTGTTTAATGAATGACCGGACAAATGCAGAACCGTTGAATGAATGATGCAGAGCTGTTGAATGAATGGTCGGACAAATGCTTGCCTGTTGTGTCGCATAGTTCTCGTAGTCATTGTTGGACCACTGACTGCGCAGACTGTCAGCGTATCGTTGTGATGATATGAACGTTTGAATGGATTACACCTCGTGAAGGACGCAAGCTGATGCAAAAGACACGGTTGAGCTCACCGAGCAGTAGGTTCTTGCCGACGTCCGCCTTCATAGAATTGACCTGGATGTCGACTTTGATGTCCTTCACGACAGGCCTCCCCGAGGCCCCGCTGAAAGTTGTCTTCCCTGACACTATTACACCACCTGCAACGCGAGGTTGGTGGTCATCCTCGTCCTGGCCAGCCTTCGTAAAACGTGAGAGACGATATGCTGTCGTGCTTCGCGACACAATTGATATCTATTCATATATCTCTATCACTTTACAAGCACGCGCCTTCACGTACGCGCATACACATGGAAGCGTTGACGCTGTTCAACATTTTCAAGCATAAACACACCACCAGTCTTTTAAAATTAAGATACCTTGCCAACCCAATAGCCTCTTGTGTGTGTGTGTGTGTGCGCGCGCGTGCGTGCGTGCGTGCGTGCGTGCGTGCGTGCGTGCGTGCGTGCGTGCGTGCGTATGTGTGTGTGTTGTACAGGCAAACAGTTCCGCCGATGCAATATTTAAAAAATACAGACTCAGTATTTTACCGGAGAGTTTCGGGACATATTTTGCTCTTTCTTATGCACCACTTTCATAAGACAAGAGAGGCAATGGGGTTGGAAATGTATCTTAATTTTAAAAGACTTCGGTAATGTTTATGTCTGAAAAAGTTGGACAGCCTCAACTCTTTCACAGACACCAGTGCACATGCACGCATACACACAATAAACGCGTGCACACATTGACACCCTAACGCAAAAAGAATTGTGCCTGAGAACGACATCGGCAACCGAAGAGACTAGTTTCCTAATTTTTTAGGCGTCATGAGCCAGATTAAACCAGTTAGGGTTCATGGCTAACATCAGCAGCCGGACCCTGGGCAGCTTTATATCTTTGTCGTTGGAAGAAAAAGTAATCGGACTTTGCTGTGTTTGGCGCTTAAAAAATGCCAAAATGGAACATTCGGGAAATCTGGCCGTCACATCGTCCCCATCACAAGCGGAGACGACATTAAGTGTGAGGATCCTTGGTACAAAAGGGCCGAAGGAATAGAAAAACATGACAGCGATGTTGGACGTGCCACCTGGATTTGGATGCTGGGGGATTCCTAGAAACTACTTTCGATTTCCGTGCCGTTATGAGGATAAACATGCTAGATTCATGCGAGCGAGAATACAGACTGAGTTTGTCTTGACATCAAACAGGCGAACATTCTGTAGCATGAGCGGCCCGACCCGGCCCAGCTGTTAGCCCTTTGAACATTGGGAACCATTCATTGTACCGTCAGAAAGCTTTCAACAAGTGTATGGGCTACTTGACAACTACTGCCATGCTTTCCCGAACGAGAACAATGAACAGGTTTTCACCAACAATCCTTTAAGAGGCAACCGATAAACAGACGAAAAAGAAGTCGGCTGCCCAATGCCTCAAGGAACAAGCGACATGTAAAGCCGCGATCGTTCGGTTCATATTTGTCAAAAAGAAAGGCATGAGGGCCGACTGGAAAACCACAGCGGCAGGAAAATAGAAACTACAGTGAACAGGCTACCTCGAACTGAATATCCACCATGCTATGTGGTCTAATGGACTCGTAAAGAAACGTTGCAAGGGTCCGAAGTTTGAACGGGCAACTGCTATGTCCCATGTGCCATTAGCATACGCCGCTGGCACTCAACAAGTGGAATACTCAAGCTGCGCACACGGCCTATTAACACGCAGAGTGAGCCGTCCGGTATTGCACAGCTGCACTGTCCGTAGCCAAATAGGCAAGAAATGAAACGGGTCCACTGCCGAGTGACCGTATATAAAAGCTGTGCCAGAAGCATGGTGTCAGTATGCTTTTAGTATGGGAAATGGGCTATCGTTGTTGGTTGCAATATCATACCATAATTTTTTTTCGGCGCTGATATTATGGATGTGAAAGTGAGGACACAGCTAAGCTGTTGGGCTGGTCATAGTCTTAACAGCCCATTGCGGCTGTATGGGGCGAGGTGGTGTTGTTGCAAACGTTTGTCATATGCACACATCAAGCTGTGGAATCTCGCACTCGCCTTGATTTCATATACAAGATAGATAATAAGATGGTTGTGCTTGAGCTCGGCCAACAGTATTTTTCACGGGATAAGTCAGGGCAGCTCAATCCGGCTCTTTAGCATTATGGAAAACAGGTACGCGTACTGATGTCACTGTGGCCCCAGCACGAAGCAAAAATGAGAGCCAGCTCTGGCAAGCGTTGAAGTCTTTTGACGGCGGACGACGCGCGACCTAGCACTGGAACGGGCTGCGTATTCGTCTCCAAAATGTTTGTCATTCAGGTGTCTGGCAATAAATCAGTTTGAGGTTTTTGGTTATGTTACTGTGATTTTGCGTGCTTGACTTATGCGCGGGAAGTTCAGTCCGTGCAGGCCTTTGCGGCGCTTTTCCTTACGTAGATTTTGGCGTCGGAAAAACTCGTGTTGTTTGCTGTCTAACACATGTTAAAGGCCTTAAATGCGTATGAATCGACTTCACCGTCAAATACAAAGATAACAGCGTTTTGAAAGAGGTCATAACATTGACATTCCAGGCATTTGCATGCCAATATTTAAGCCGCATTTAAGGAGTGGATTTATTCCTTATGCAGCTTTGGAATGAGCCATCCAATCCTATGCAATGCTTCACATTAAGTCCTTCAGGTGCGTTAAGGCTTGGCGTTTGGGATGTAGCTTCCTATCCAGTTGATGGGCTTCAACCTCCACCCCCAACTTGGAGAACATGCGGGCCAAATTAGGAGAGAAAACTGTTTGCTGGTGCATTTTGGGGCTGGCTGTCATTGTTCACTGTTCAGTCCCTCAAATTCACAGAATGAGTGAGATTACAAACGTTAATTAATCATGAAAACGATCATACCTTTACGCAGTTTATTTTGATATTTTCTTACCCATAGTGAGAGTGAGGGTAAATCTTTGCTTGAATCGGCCATATTGCAAGAGGAACTGGCCCTTGATGACCAACTTCTTCACCTGAAGAATCGTCAGCACAGAATCGCCAAACAGCCTGCAAATAGGCAAGGACATTATTTCATTTCACGGTAATCGACACTTACCAGGCTTAGTCCTATAGCTACTCCTGTCTAGAACAGGAACACGACGCAGGCCGTCACGTGCCCTTTTCAAACATCAGCAACTACAGTGGTTTTATTAACGCTTAGTGGACATGTCGAAAAGGGTTTGAACCTGTACCCCCCACGTGAGAAAGTTACTAACTGCACCCGTTAGAAGAAAAAAACAATAAAAAGTTACTGACGGTACCCATTGTTTGTGATTCGAAATTCGACGCATTTACTGCAAGCGCGTCAAGATGCAACCGAAAATATTTAGTTCTCTTGAACTTCCATCTTTACTCCGGATAACTTTATGTAAAAATGGTGTATGTTTCCTTCAAGTCACGAAGGGGTGCTGACTCAGAAGGCGTGCGCCTGCGGTATTTGAAATTCCGGGTCTCCGGTTTACTTTAGCAGATATCGATGGTAACGTCGGACAAGGACAACGTTACGCTACAGAAGCGATTAGTTTAGATTTAATTTTAAAATTAAATCAGAAACTTGCATATGGTCCGTGTTCTTAACAGAGATGATGCACTCGCTATGCACCATTGCGCCATTATTCAGTAAGAGCTACATATCTGCTGGAACAAGTGAGTGCCACCTCATTCCGTGAATGGTGGCACGGGTTATTACAATATAATGCGATTGTGTCGACTGTTCCTCTTTCAAATCTTTGCTTATTATAGCGGCGTGTAAACAAAGCAAATAGTGATTTATTCCGTTCTTTTTGGTCCGCATTGCTTTGCAGTACCATCGTTGCTGACATCCGCCAACGGAAAGTATTCCAGTCAAATCCTGAGCCGGCATGTTAACTTGCCAGGAGTTTCATTTGTGTACTCACTTTACGTGGGTGACGCGGAGCGTGGAGAGTCCGGTCACTTTGATGCGGCTACCAGAGACGGAGAAGATGCCCACAGTCCTTTTTGGGAACGCGATCCTCGAAATGGGGTCGGAGCCCACGCCGCCGTACCTGGTCTTGGCCGCTGGTTGTGCGGATGCATTATCAACAACATGCATTATCATTATCATACATCATCACTGTGATACATTATCAACAACAGTTGTAATAATTGATGTGGTTGTCTGGTATCAATGAACTCGACCGATGCATCCGTTTTGAATTTATCTCGCATCGGTAGGCTGTGTATCAACCAAGACACTCCCATACCCATTAAACCCGTGATTTTCTTTCGACGTCTATCAACTACAGAGACTGTACAACGTCAGCTGTCCACCTTGCCTGATGACGAGGTGTGCAAATATACATATTTCTACTTACCAATAAATTTTTAAAGTCCTTCAAAAGGTACCGCGGTGCAGTTGTGGCTAACGATAGTGATGCAGCAAGGCAAACAACTTAATGACGTAATGGTTGAGAGAGGTCGCTAGTTCTGAGCCGAGCTAGGATGGGCAGCAGCTGTGCGGTGGGTGGTTCCCAAACGAAACTCGCGAGGGGGACTCAATCATGTGAGACTCTTTCGTCGTATAGTGCCAAGAAACGGCGGGATAACGGCACGATCTGGAAACACTCATCGTGAGAGAACCGAAAGAGCGGTCCGTGGTGCTAAATTAAAACTAAAATGCGAACCCAAGAATGGGGCAGCCCTCCTTTTTGCTGGGCCTCTGAAAGTTTGGGATTGCGTATGGAACTATCGCGTGCTCAAGTATAATCCAACAATCCTTTACACGGCATTTGGGTCGCCTGTGTGTTTAAACGAAAGGCAGGAGACTTTATGTAAGCACGAGACAGCATGTTACTTCGTGTATTTCGTTGCTTCAAATAATGTATGGTTCAATAGCATTGCAATACAAAGTAGTGATACTCATGAACAGGACCATAAAGCATTTAAGAGCCCGTTCAATCTGAGATGCCTCTTTACGACAGAGATCCAGTGTGAGCACTGGGCTGCACAATCTGCAGACATCCGTGTGTCTACTCCTGACCCAATGCAACTCGTTGCCCGCCATACATGAAACCCTCAATCCCTTAGGCGTGCCCAACCCGTAAAGACCGGAACAGAGACTAAACCGAAGTGGGCAGAACAGAAACGCGCAATCAAGTCACCCTCCTGTTTTGGCCTTTACCTTCAATCAGGGCATTTTTGCTTTTGTCTATAAAGGACCGGAGCTTGGCTAGGACGCAGTCGTTTACGTCTGCGGGGACTCCGCATCCTAGGTTGCTGGCGATCCCGAGGACCAATTTGCTCGGAGTAGCAGCCAGTGCTTCACCTGCGTACAAAGTGGCGTCAGTCACACTGCAGCCAAATGTAACGGCAAACCATCCGATAAACGCTCTCCTGCTGAACACAGTTATGCTGGGTCGTGTTATTGAGGACCAAATTGATGTCATGAGTACCACAAGCTACCTTGTACTACAAACACAAGCTTAAGCTAACCAACCTGGCTCACGAAATGCAAAATCGGTGACCTTTTAGCTATTTTGAATTTGGCACGGTTTGACTTGGTGTCTCAACCCTGTCACGCACGTACCTTTCACAAAATGAGACATCGGGTAACCAGCTACCTTTGATCCTGCCGGGCGGCATCCGTTCTCACTCGCATTGAGAGTGAAGGGTTGGTCACCGTTTTCCCGTTTGGCTCCAATTAGAGCTAAAGGTCAGGTTGGGTGTATGGGCAGAGAGAAGTTAGGTTGGGTTCATTGATTTACTATAACGCTGACGTCTATAAGATGACGCTGATACCAATAAAAATATACATACTCACCAGACATACTATATATACTATATATACACCAGATATACTATATATACTCACCATAAAACTGATACCAACAAACTCACCAGAAAAGGAAGCTACGAAGAGGAGGCATGCCAGAGATAAAGGTGTCATCTTCTGCAAGAAGCACAATTGTGGCAGATAAGATCGATGGTGCATCATTTACGGACTCTGTTCATTGCATGCAAACATCACGTTTATTGGTTCGTCTTTATGCGTCATTATGACAACAACACTACCCAATATTTTGTTACAACTTGAAACAAATAAAGTGCAAATCACGATTAAGAATTGCAATGTTGCACTGAAATGACTGAGTGGTCTTCGAAACAAGCACAAATTTTCTTTTATGTACCGCTGCGAACTGCATGTACATGCATCCACTGGATAAAGCTCCGGAGATAGGATCGCTGTGGTTTATCTGCAAATGCAAAAGCAGTCTAGCAATCAAAATATAGTCCCATTTAAAGCCCAATTTAATGTCAAGTTAATTAGCCATTTAACTAAAATGATTAATATTCTTTAATAATCGTATTTCATTCGTGCACTGACATGCTAAGGAGTTCCACATAAGCTGTTTTGTGCAGCTGTAAGTAACATTTCAGGTACCTAGCAGTACTCCGCTCGGCCGCATTGCTAGTTTGCGTTTGCAAAAAGATGACAAAATACGGATATGTCACGGATACCGATCTTTGTCGACACAGTTTGCACAACACATGTGCGAGCAGTAACTCACGTAATCAATTTATTCATCAATGGCACATCTATGGTATCAACTCTTTGGATAAAGGCCTGTGGCCGAAAAAGGAATATATCACTTTTGTGTCACCTTCTCTTCAACTACCGACGAGAACATCATGCCAAGGGAAATGCTCTTGTATGCGTTTTGAGGGAAAATGTGGATTGTTTCGAGGACTGACACTTAATGCACTGTTTTAGACCGCCATAAACCAAGATGATTTACTTAAACCAGCTTGTATGAGGCGATAATGAAAAGCCATAAAAAGGAACAGTCATCACGGATATATTTTTTTCAAATTTGCCTGATTTCAAGCTAGAATCGAGAGGTGTGATACTGGATGCTTGACTACAGGTTGACGGCAGGCGCATTTTTGGTCCTTCTTCGTCTTGTTTAGATGCTTGAGCTCAGATACTCAGATGCTTAGAGCGCCCCTTACAGAGCTCGACCCCGTACCATATACTCAGATGCTCAAAGCGTCCGTTACAAAGCTCAGCCCTGCATCAGATATTAAGATGCTCAGAGCGGCGCTTACAAAGCTCAGCACTGTACCAGATGCTCAGATGCTCAAAGCGCCTGTAACAAAGCTCAGCCCTGTATCAGATGCTTAGATACTCAAAGCGTCCGTTACAGAGCTCAGCCCTGTATCAGATATTCAGATGCTCAGAGCGGCCCTTACGGAGCTCAGCCCTGTACCAGATGCTTAGATGCTCAAAGCTCCTGTAACAAAGCTCAGCCCTGTATCAGATGCTTAGATGCTCAAAGCTCCTGTAACAAAGCTCAGCCCCGTATCAGATGCTCTGATGTTCAGAGCGCCCCTTACAAAGCTCAGCCCTGTATCAGATGCCTAGATGCTTAGAGCGCCCCTTACAGAGCTCAGCCCTGTATCAGATGCTCAGATACTCAAAGCGCCCCTTACAGAGCTCAGCCCTGTACCAGATGCTTAGATGCTCAAAGCACCTGTAACAAATCTCAGCCCTGTATCAGATGCTCAGATGCTCAGAGCGGCCCTTACAGAGCTCAGCCCTGTATCAGATGCCTAGATGCTCAGAGCGGCCCTTACGGAGCTCAGCCCTGTATCAGATGCTTAGATGCTCAAAGCGCCTGTAACAAAGCTCAGCCTTGTATCAGATGCTCAGATGCTCAGAGCGCCTGTAACAAAGCTCAGCCCTGTACCAGATGCCTGGATGCTCAGAGCGGCCCTTACGGAGCTCAGCCCTGTATCAGATGCTTAGATGCTCAAAGCGCCTGTAACAAAGCTCAGCCTTGTATCAGATGCTCAGATGCTCAGAGCGCCTGTAACAAAGCTCAGCCCTGTACCAGATGCCTGGATGCTCAAAGCGCCTGTAACAAAGCTCAGCCCTGTATCAGATGCTCAGATGTTCAGAGCGCCTGTAACAAAGCTCAGCCCTGTATCAGATGCTCAGATGTTCAGAGCGCCTGTAACAAAGCTCAGCCCTGTATCAGATGCTCAGAGCGTCGCTTACAGGGCTCATCCCTGTATCAGGTTCGAAGTGGGAGGATTTGGGCGAGATGGAACCGGTACGGTCTCCAGTCGAACTTTTTCCTCAGAATCCTCCAGATCTTTTCGTAAGCTGTCTTGGGGCCAGCCTAATTGGGTTTCAAAATTTTTAATCCTGTTCAGCTCCTGGCAAAGGGCAATATCCCATGAGTCAAAAGAGCATCTCGCCACTTCCTATAACTTCATTATTTCATACATACCCTGTCAACAAAAAATCGTTGTGTTTCGGAAGTCAAAATCCCTCTATACCGACAGTGCATGAACATGACATCTTGCTCACCCCGCTCCTGCGGTTCCCAAAAGCTTACCGTTTATCAGCAGAGGCTGTCTGACTCGGTCCAGTGGGGGACAGGGTGCACACTGGCACCGATAGTGCGTCCTGCACGTGTCCTTACCGCAAATGGCCTCGCCGCCTCGCGTGGCGTTGACCTGTCATGACAGCTCGCCTCACCGGTGACATTTGGCCGGCCTGACATGCCGCCGGACACATGCCATGTCAGAGCCGAGAGAGATGACCGGCAAACGGCGAGCGGTCCCGAAATGTCGCCAGAGGTGAGCTCACTGCTGGCGATAGGCATGGTCTGAGGTGATTCAACTGCTCTGTGTTGGTCGCACCCTGTTTGAATTGGTTTGGTCCTCTGATGCGGACATGAATGCTGCAGAAGGACTATGCACATCTGTATGACTGGTTTTCGGTGACACGCGACAGAAAATGTACCATACGCCTCGACGATCTGATTTGCATGATTTTGCTGCTCTGAAGCGAAGGCATGTCACGCTGTATCCTCGATCCTCATGCAGGCATCCATCGGGATTTCAAGCTTTGTAGGCTTACGGTTTCTGTGCTTGGAAGTCGTCAATGAATAGTATTTCGGACGAGCAAACGACCGTAGTTTTGAACATGGGTACAGGTTATTCTGAATTCGATATTCCTCAAAGCGATTAAGTTCTCACCTCAGAAAGTCTGGACGTTGTTTCCTTCAAATGGCGTTTCATCATTGCACACGCTCAAAAAGAGAATCATGCAGCATTAGACACCAGTACACTCCTCGTCTTTTACGCTGCATTTTGGCTCGCGCGGCAGTTCG